TATCCTGTCCAATTAATGGATCGAAGCGTGGTTCGCGCACTCCAGGTCCCCTTTTCGGAGATCATCTCAGCCGCACGTCGGCAACGAGTTAACGAGACACCAGCTTGTAAGCCACAGCGCCCTGTCCTCGTCTGAAAACCATCCAGAACACCAAAGCCGCACATCTGCCCCTGGTACCTGCATCTTCCCGCCAATAGAGGCCTTGGCTTGGCCGAAGACGTGCATGACTATTCCAGCCATCAGATTAATGGACCGCACGGCGAGACTCAAAAGGGACTCATCTTTCACGCCGAGAAAAGCTTGTCAACCGGGAGCCAAGAGAACGTGGACATGTCGTTTAGGCATGCGCTGGACTAGGGGTACCAGGACATAGGGCTGAGGTGACCAGGCCGTCAGGGGTCCGATCTGCGTCCCATTTTCCAACGCAAGGCTCTGCCCGAGGGGAATCCGTCCGCTGCGGCAGGTGCCGCAGTCCGCACCGCAGTGATTTACGCCAATACACGTGCATGACTCCAGGCGCGCAGCTGCAGATTGTGCCTGGCCTATCTCACTGTCACGTGTTACCCATGGCAACTCCTACATCGATCTGCGGCCTGCCAGTGCTCCAGTACCTATGTCAAGAGGCCAACAGAGCTGAAATGCATGCACCACGCTGATTCTTAGGTACCTTAGGTAGACAACGATAGTGGCAAAGTGAAGTAATCGTTCATCAATGCAAAACCGTGCAGTGCCAGATAATCGCGACAAAAGGTGAAGGCAGCAGCAAGAGACCGAAGACATTCCACTGATCAGGTAGGTCCAAAGATCAGGACCCTCCAGCCAACCCGGCACTACCTCTCAGTCCGGGAATGTTCCTCGTATCCTCTTTTGCACCATATTCATCGCACGGGAGTCGTAGTCCTTCGAATCGCCGCGCCACCCCCACACGGCAGCCTTCTCGTCGCTCACGAGCCTGGAGCTGGGGTAATGGACGGGCTCCTGGTCGCCAAAGTTATCTTCCCAAAACCGTGGGTAGCCCGCGGATGGTGCGGGAGCAGAGGTGGACGCGGCGCATTCCCGGTCTTCGAGGGCAATGACAAAGTCTATCGCCGCCCGCAACGTCGTGGTTATGACATCTGGACTGTCCGTGGCCTCCGTCACGGGCTGTTGCTAGATGGCATGGAAGGTGATAGGCGCGCAGTCTATCCTCGATACCCGTACGTACGAGCGAGACGCGTATATCGCCGACCGTCTTGGAGTCCTTGAAGTAATAATCTTTGGAGTCGATGATGATAAGGAGGACCCGAGACAACGGCCGGATCTGGTAGTCCTGGTGGTCTTTGGGGAGATAGAGTCTAATACCCGTAGAATCCATCGTCCTTGGCTCGGTAGCGTCGTATACCGGGCGATAGGCTTCGACCTGCTCTGAAAGGCGCTCGTTGAAGGACAGAACAGATTCCATGATCGGTTCCGCGCCTAGGTTTTCTCGATGGAGTGCGATGAACCTGCAGATGAATTGACCATGCTCGAGTTCGCTCCGGTAAGGGCGGAACCAGCGGCGGTTGATGTAGTTGTGTAGGGTGATGCCGAGAAGCTTCCACCGATAATCAGTTAGGACGTAAAGGGGGACTGACTTGTTGCAGAGGTCCTGGGAGTCACGGATATTAAGCCTCGGGGCTGTTGCCGTGCCTGCACCCTTGATCGACGGCTCGTAAATGTGCCTTGGGTCATGGAGGCTGCCGACGCATGTCCATCCCAAGGGGGACCCGTCCGGCAGGGGCCGCACCGCATTCCGCACCACAGTGATTGACGCCAATGTTGTGCCTGGTCTGTCTCACTATCACGTGTCATCCATGGCAGCTCCTACATCAACCTGCCAGTGCTTTTGAAGCCATGGAAGTTGCAGGCTGGATGCCTGTTGATGTTCGTCGTCGAACCTTGGCGATGTTCTCGGGAAAATCAAGATTCCTGCGCTAAACCAAGTGTGCATGCACTGTCAATGACGCCACTCCTCCTCCATAGAGAAATATAGCGCACAACCTTAAATGTGCCGCACCAGCATCAGCATCAGCAACATCAGCAGGCCGAATATGGTCACCTGAAGTCGGAGAAGTCATCAAATATCCCTTACCTCAGATTCCTCCCGAAGGTCTGCTGAGACACCCAGCCTTTCTCACCTGACCTTGAGACGGCTCCTGGAAGTGTTGGTCGATCTCTCCCAGACTTCCAGGTTGTTGTGCGAGTATAAGGACCACAGGTCATCGAGCCTAAAGAGGCATGTTCAACAAGCTTAAGACAAAATTTCATCAACCATCCACTGTCCCGCAGACAATACTCGACAAGATGCCTCAGTCACTAGATGTCCAGCTGCACAACGACAGCAACTCCAGCCAGGTGTATGCCTATGTCACCGGCATCTCCCTGCAAGAGCGCAACGGCCAGCGAGTGCTCCTCAAGGCAAATGGCCAGGACCTCTACTTCCCCGAGAACCCACCCGCCATCATGTCCCCGCTGGCCGAGGACTGCGCCATCCCCCTCGGCCCTCCGGGGAGCACAAAAACGATCCACATCCCGCAAATGGCCGGCGGCCGGATCTGGTTCAGCCGCGAGGGCAAGTTGACCTTCATGCTCAACCCCGGTCCTGCCCTCGTCGAGCCCTCGGTGCTCAACCCTACCGATCCCAACGCCGACGTCGACTTTGCATTTGCCGAGTTCACGCTCAACAACGACCAGCTCTTCGCCAACATTAGCTACGTCGACTTTGTACCCCGGCTGCCTGTCGCACTGACGCTGCAGACCGCCGACGGAGCCGTGCAGCACGTGTCGGGAATGCCAGCCGACGGCCTGGACAAAGTCTGCGAAGGCCTACGCGCCCAGGCCGCGAAGGACCACCGGCCATGGGACAAGCTAGTCGTCCAGAAGCCGGGCCAACCACCCCTCCGGGCCCTGAACCCGACGCACGGAAACGCGGTAGGTGCCAGTTTTGACGGCTACTATGAGCCCTTCATCGAGGAAGTGTGGAGCAAGTACCACGAGAAGAAGGGCCGGGCCTTGCTGAAGGTCAACACCCAGGCCGGTCCTGGGATTGTCTCTGGCGTCGTCACAGCCAAGGATGAGCTGGTCATCGGCGGCGAGCCGTTCCGCAAGCCGACGACAGCCGACATCCTCGGATGCAACAGCGGGCCTTTCACGACGGGCCCATCAGCAACCAGGAACGCGATCATCCCTCGCCTGGCTGCTGGGTTTCTTCGCACGGCCATTGCAGATATCGAGCATCAGCCGTCGGATCCGTCGACGTTCTACAGGAAGGACCCGACCAATCACTACGCCAGGATTGTGCACGAGGTGAATCTCGATGGCAAGGGCTACGCATTCGCGTACGACGATGTGCAGCCTGATGGTGGGAAGGACCAGTCTGGAAAGGTGAACGCTGGCGATCCCAAGGTCTGGATTGTCAGTGTTGGGGGAAACAAGGCGTATGCTGGGGACAGGTTGCCCTAGCAGCTCGTCATAAGTTCTAGTACATATGTTAGTTCATGTTTCGCATATATAGTCCATCATATCTTGCCTTTTAATGCCTTTCCTCCTTGTGACAACCTGCAAAGTTGCATCACGTACCCGAGTCTTGATTTGGACAGCGGAGATATCGAGGACTTCCCTAGGTGACATTGTCTAAGCTAGGCAGATCCTCGCTCAGGGTCACAGCGGCCATATCGGAATGGTTTCCACCGCTCTGCAAATCTGTCCGGACAGCTATACCAAACTGAGCGTCTATGAGCTCTTCTTGGCGGATATCTCCTGGGCAACCTTTGCCGTGGCCTCTACGATCAGCTCGTGCTCATAGCTATGTATCCTGGTCTCCAGCTGCTGCAAATCCTCGTCTGGCCGGCATTTGATCTCTCTGACCAAGATGGGCTGGCCCCTGTCCACTTCGCTAATGACATTGTGCACCATGATGCCGGTGGTGTCATTCGCCAGCTTACCGGCTTTGAAGTCGTCGTACGCGCGCTCAATCGCATGAGCACCGTCATAGGCTCCTGTGGGTCCGTGTTAATGGCTCCGTACATACATCTCACGTTTCGGTGTGACGGAACGAGGGGCCAATTACCTGGTAATGCCGGGTGCAGGTTGATGATCTTGATCCCTTGCGCCTCCAACGGGTCCAGAAACTGCTTCCCAAAGACATACATCCACCCAGCCAAGACGACCAGATCCGGCCTCGACTCCTCATCCCTCAGTAACCGCTGTGCCAGTGCGGCATCATAGCGATCTCTGGCCTCCTGCAGCTTCTGCGCGTCCTTCTCGCCCTTGGCCTGGAACCCGTTCGAGATCAGGTTGAAGTACTCCCACGGTATGCCGGCCTGCTCGGCCCGCTGTGTGGCATACGCCTTGCCCCGGTTCACGTAGAGGCGGATGATCTTTGAGTTCGCTATCTTCCCGCTGGCGATGGCGTCGATTAGGGCTTGGAAGTTGGAGCCGTTGCCGCTCGCCATCACCACGATCCTGCATGGTTCCGACATGTCTGCGTCTGTGTCCCAAGGCTTGAGAGAGAAAAACGTTAGTTGATAAGAGGTGTTTCAGACGGTCGCAGAAGTAATTATCACTGTCGACGTAAGAGTTCTGGGTGAGTTGCGATCTGAGGTGAACTTGTCGTCAAACGCGGCCCGCAAACCCAAAATTTTCGGGGCCGTTTGGTGCGGTTCTCGGCGGTGTGGGTCCGCACTTTTGCGGACACCGGATCGACGCGAGAAAACCCGCGGTCTTCCCAAAATTGACGCTGCGGACATTTACTTTCCCACGCCTACCGGCTCTTAACACAGTAGTTACCTTATCCACGAGCTTTCACAAGGAGACATGCTCGAGTGTCTAGCATCCTCACAATTGCTAAGCCAAGTCACAGCGCTGCGCAACAGCTAATGGCCCGCTGGCACTACTCAGTGAAACACATCTTCAGACACTCAACAAAACAGGCATGTGAAGTTGCAGAACAAAAAGATGGACGACGTGAATGTCAAAAGCAATGCGCCAGCCGCGAATCGAACGCGGGGCCCATCGAGACTGTCACCGAGTCAAGGAGAACTCATACTGTGATGGCAACGATGGATTTTACCACTAAACCACTGGCGCTGTGGATGTTTGATGACCTCTTGCCAACAATCTCTCCTTATCCACTCATGCCGCCAGCCGCAAGGTAAACCAAAAGCAGCCACCACATGCAAAAAAGGAACGGCCCGGATGACCGAAGAGCTGGATGGAGAAGCTGGGAGTCGAACCCAGTACCTCGTGCAGGAGCATGTTGCTCGGCCGATCGCTCGAACCGAGTTGTATGCTAAGCACGCGCTCTACCAGATGAGCTACATCCCCTAATGGACGGATGACCGGGCTGTTGGAGGAGCAGGGAGTCGAACCCTGTACCTCCTGCAGGGCAAGTGGGCGTGCTGGTCTGAAGACTCGCACTCGATGCAAAGCAGGCGCTCTACCAGATGAGCTACACCCCCAAGGATGATTTGATGGAGATGTCCGCGACGGTGTCGCGCTTATGTGCAAGAGCAGAGACGGGCTTCGCGGTGAAGGGGGGCTGCTAGCGGCGGGTCGCGAGAGATTTTGCAGATGGGTCATGACTCGAGGACTACCGCCGGGGCGTACAGGGATTGTCTACACGTAATGGTATTCTCGTTGTGGTTGCAAGCCATTGAAGGCTAGTCGTCGAATACGGTGAGCATGTACCACCGCGTCTGCCACATCCTGACTTGCTCCCAGGTGTTTGCTGGCCAACTCTGTCGCTTGAAAGAGTCCAGCCTGATGAAGAAACTAACTCCAAGCTACTGGTAGTCCCTGCGCTAATCGTACCCCTGACCGCTAGTTCCGTTCGCATCCTGGATGTCAACGTTCTCGCATCTGCGCATTTCTCACGGCAGCAGCAAACGGTGCAACCATCTCCGGTGTAGGCCCGGAAGGCAGGACGTGCCTAGGTATCTCCCTGCGCTCGAGGTAGATGCGCGGTTCTTTGAAGCGCAAGATGGTGTTGAACTCCCTCCATGCCGTGTCTGGACTGGAGAGGGCCTCCAGCCTGCTTAGCTCCGTGAAGCCGACCTTGGTGAGACATGGCATTTGGTTCGGCGGCGCTGAGTCCGGCGCCTTCTCCTCCACAGAGATGTTTGACGCGGCCGGTGTGAGCCACGTCTGCTCTGGGGCCATGTTCTCTGCTAGGCGCGGGCGCACGACGTACTCGATGGAGGTGAAGATGTCGTATGCTCTCTTGAGGGCGGTGTCGGCTTGCTGCTTTGGATTGGGACCGACTGCTGCCTGGAGTGCTTGTGTCCCTGGTAGAGACTCTTAGCTAATTCGGTCTCGGAAGCAATAGGTAGACGGGACGTGATCTTACAGGGGCTCTGACCTCCGGTTATTTCTGAGAGTGCCGAGTATGCCTCGGGAACCATCAGCCCCGTCATCGCAATGTCGAAGGAGTCGAAGATTGCCGTCGTCAGCTCCACAAAGCACGGCGTGGCCGCCCATGTCCCAGGGTGGAAGAAGTCCGTCCAGGCCGATACTCCCGTGGACGGTCGGCCCAGCTGACGACCAAAGCCACTTTTCAAGATCAGTTGTGAATGGTGGCCATTATCGTGTCCCTTTGCCGGATCCCCAGTCAACTTTTTCGCTATTATTCTCACAGCGATGCAGTGGGCACATATATCATAGCTCGGACATTGCTGGCAATGGAATCGAGGCCTGTCCGGTGGAATCTGATCCAAGCATCCGTCGCAGAAGTAGAGCGACATGTTTCTTAGCTTCAACAACCGAATGTTGTCGTGATGGAGAGCGAGGCTGGGTGCTTGAGTGGTTTACCATCGTTCTTATACGTGGCAGCCCAGGCGAGCTGACTGTGAGCTGAACCATGCGTCTTCTTTATCACGGTCGCACAGCGTTAGTGTCATGCATGTCGTCTTGGCATGGAGTATAGGTCTAGAGCAGCACTCAGTGGCTGCTGCCCCAGACTTCCTGTGGTAGGATTTACGCATGTTAGCGCAATACAAGTCTCTAGGGCATAACTCAACCAGGTGTCGAAATGTCTGGGGGAAATGTTGTCTATTCCAATCATGGTTGCTATCGTGCGCTGCGCAGCTATTCCGTAACTTTCAGCTCCTTCATGGCCGCCGTCGTCATCCCCGTAAACGGACAGACGCCTTCTGACAGGGTTGGTGTCGTGCTCCCGCCATCCGACTTCCTCTTCGGAGTCGTGTCTCCCCCATCCGACGACTTCTCCTTCTCCGGCTCTGCGCTCTCGTCCTGCCCCGGAACATCTTCAGCCAGGACCTTCTTGCCGTGCAGCCAGCCCTCCTTCTCAATAATACCGCCATAATCGACCCCGTCCGTGAACTCTTCGCCGTCATTGACATACCACTTGGCAAACAGATCGTTCTGAATCCAGATAACCTTCCCCAGCGCCTTGATAATCGCCATCTTCCTCGACAGGTGCAGCTTAGGATGCGACAGGATAGCCTCCGTGAGAATATCCTGTATGACCGACAGCGCAGCCCCGATGTGTATATACTCGACGTGCAGCGGATGCGTCCTCCCAAGCCCAACATGCATCATACCGACCTTGTCCAGGTACTCCCAGAACTCGAGCTCTCGCGGGTCCGAGCACAGCTTCACCAGGTAGGCGCGGAGGAACAGCTTTCGGTGCTGGATCTGCGGGCTGTCCTCGTCCGGTAGGTCGTCCATCGGCCCCTCGTAGCTGGTGCTCCGCGTCTGGAAGGCTCGCGCTGTGATGTCGTACTGCAGGAGCTTCTTGTAGACGATGTTCACGACGGCCGGGATGAGAGCTTTGATGTATTTTGCTCCCGAGATGAGGGCATCTATGTCCTCTTTCACTTTGTGTTAGTCGACGAGGAGAGTTCTGGGGTTGGATGGGGAGTGGCACATACTGCTGCTGAAATCCAAGAACGAGTGAAGATACCGTATCCGGGCTTCGAGATTTGTGTACAGCTCTTTGCGGTCGACATGTTGCATGGGTCTACGTGATGAAGGCATGATTGCTAGTGTCTGGTTGGGATTATGTTGGCAGGATTATGTCAACAGGTGAGGCTTGCGGTGTTGAATGAGGGCCAGATTGAGATTTCTGGACCCATTCCGATCCAGAGACATCCCGGGGAAACATGGTATTTGAGCACGACATTTCAACAGCCGCAATGCGAAAGTTCTCGAACCGCGAGACGTGACGCATGGGAGATGAGTGAGTTTGGTGTGTGGTCTGAGGTCAAGTGTTGGGCCACTAATTGCGACGCCGGGAGCTGCCGCACATCACGCCATGTCCAGCAGTCGGCCCACTGGAAGGTTTGACGGACTCGCAAGGAACTGGGAGAGCTGATCAACAATAAAATTAGAATTTCTGGATACAGCCTGATGGCAAGTTAGCAGCAAATGTCGAGATTGACGTAATATGGCATGATGGAGTGTTGTTGAAACAGAACTTGAGGGCACGGCCTGTCCATGACCAACACAGAAGCGGCATATGCATATATTAGATTTCGGCTTCGAGCTGCAAGTAATCTGTTCAGTTTCGGGCGCACATCCTCAGTCGATAACCCCCGACGGCAGGACCGCAACATAATCTAACGGCGCCAGCTCAGTCCCGTCCGGAGTCCCCACGATCTTGAGCGTATCGCCTGTCTCGACCTTGACACCGCCAAAGGTAATCCTAGTGGCCGAATGGCCGTCAAGAAAAGTCGACGGCGTATGTCCCAGCTTGTCCTCGTTGTCACCAGTCCACTTGCCAACGAGCTTATCATTCAAGTAAACCTCATAGCGCGCCCTGCCCCCAATGATGTCGTAGTAGTTGATAGCTAGGTCGTACGTCCCGGACGGGAAGTTCAACTTTGCAGTCGCCGTGCCGGCCGTGGTATTCGACGACGTGACGACAGCCTTGAAGTTGGACGCCGTCTCGAACGGATTCACCGCCGTGACCTTGTATCCGCTCAACTGCATACTCTCGGCCTCGACTCGCCACGGGTGGTTGCCGACGCGATTGGCCTGGTCCGGAATGCTAGACTTGTTGAAGTAGAACTCGCTGATAGCATCGCGCCAGACGATGGAATGGCCAGCCTGGTACTTCAGTCGGAACAAGACCTCCTCGTACCTCTGGTCGTCAATCTTTCCTTTCAGGCCCTCCCACAGCGTCGGGAATGTCTGAGCCGTTTCGGCGCCGCTGTAATGGGCGTCGTAGAAGTGCTGAATGACCGTCTTGCCCTCATGTAGGGTATATGTGTAAGGGACGTGATGGAACCATAGGAGGAGGTTGTCTGGCGTAATCTCGAGCGACTCATACACGGCCGCAACTTCCGCCGGGTACTGACCTGCGAAGCCAGTTCCGTTAGAGACAGTGCGGTCCATACCAAGACCATTGTGGTCTGCTCGCGTCCACTGGCCCCATCCATTGTCATCTTGCGACGCAGGGTTGGGCCCGAAGTGGGTGTACAGAATGTCCGTCAGTGTCTGGATCCCAAGGTTGCCGCTGTAGTTCTCGTACGCAGGCCAGGAGTCCATCGACATCTTGGTGATGGTATCGACAACAATGCGGTTCAAGCCAAAGGTCAAGCGGATCCAATCTTGTAGAATTGCTTGTGCGTCGCTGGTAGGATCCCAGGCTAGGCGCCCATAGGCGTAAAGGTTGGACATTGCGAGGTGGCTCCCAAGCCAAGTCGAGTTCGTGCCAACGTTGACGACACCAGCATAGCCGCCGAGAGGGCGTTTGAAACGCTCACCAGACACAATATCTCGGACAAGAGAGGGCTGGCCATCAACCTTCAGGTCAAAGTCTAGCACAGTCTTCCAGAGCGGCGGAAGGTAAACAAGATGGCACTGTTGCCCGAGGTATTCTTGAGTGACTTGAAGCTCAATAGCGGTGTTGGTCTTCGGAATATTTGCAAATAGGGGTGAAGCAGGCTCTCTGACTTGGAAATCGATGGGGCCGTACTTGATTTGCACCACGACATTATCGTCAAACTCGCCGTCAAGGGGCTTGAAGTAGTTCACAGCAGCATCCGCGCGATCGGCGTGCCAGTCCGATTCGTTCAACTGGTCATACACAAAGGCGCGGAACATGACAATACCTCCATGCGGCTTTATGGCTTTGGCAAAGAGGTTCGCTCCGTCGGCTAGAGTGCGGTTGTAGGTGATGGGGCCTGGCTGACCTTCCGAGTTGGCCTTGACCAGATATCCAGCGAAGTCCGGGACTTGCTGGTAGATCTGATTGGTGATGTCGGTCCAGAACTTTATCACTGAAGCATCCAAAGGATCGAATGTGCTGAGACCTCCGAAGCTTTGGGGCGAGGCAAAGTTGAGGGAGATCCCTATCTGGACGCCATACGGCCTCATAGCGTCGGCCACCCTGCCAAGTCCTCGAATGTTCTGGGTGCTTAGAGTCGTTGCGTTGGCATTGACGTTGTTGATGATGATGCCGTTGATGCCAATCGAGGCGAGAAGTCTAGCATACTCG